GCATCTATTTTGGATGCCTCCTGGACGCCTACCTAGGGAGGTAATCCAGGCATGTCCCACTGGGAGGCGGCCTTGGGGAAGACCCAGGACAAGCTGGAGAGACTATGTCTCTTGGCTGGCCTGGGAACGCCTCGGGATCCCCCCGGAGGAGCTGGAGGAAGTGTCTGGGGATAGGGAAGTCTGGGGTTCTCTCGAAGACTGCTGCCCCCGCGACCCAGCCCCGGAAAAGCGGCAGAAGATGAATGAATGAATGCATGAATGAATGAGGTGGTCTCGGCTCAAATGAAGCAAACTCTGGAGCGGATTGATTGTAGTGAGAAAGCGATATGATCCAACAAAGTAACAAGCCTGATTATATTACAGTGTATTATGGATATGTAATATGCATATTTACGATGATATGAAGAGAGCATTATGGGTAGGGCGGGATGTCATTCCTACTGGTAAATGTACGCTTCATGTCAAATGCGAAAGTGAAAGCATGCTGAACTATTAACGAGAGCTGTTTAGCAAACTTGACTGAACAGCAGTCTTGGTTTCTGTTATTTCTCTCTATAATGTAAAGCCTATCATGCATAATTGTAGCCAAGGCTATGTATGAGAAAGTCTTACCTCTGATTTATAGCTGGTGATGATGTCTGTGGGTGTCACAATTCAAAATTAAAGCACCTCTGAAATCTGATCCGGCACCTCATTTTACAGATGCCTCTCCTCAACCACCCTCCTCCCCCATCCGCTGTTTTAATTTCGTCCTTGACTCCCCAACCCTCTTCACTGTCATCCACGACAACCCCCCTCCCGTGTAGAAAACTATTTAATGCGTGCAAGTATTATTAATTTTTTTTTTATCAATTTTTAACTAATTTGTGTCTTTAGAGTTTGACTATAATGCTTGTTTTAAAGGCTTTATCTTTTTGTATTTTTTTGGAAAATTAGTTTTACAGAAATCTCTTCTTTGGTCTTCAGTTCATGGCTGTATTTCAAAGTGATTTTCACACAGAGAAATTTGTTCATATACAGTGTAATTTGCCTGATGAGGATATACACCAGTTCATTCTACCAAAAATTCAGATTTATTTTTCTGCCAATTTCTTTTTTTCCGCAGTATTTTTTTAATTATGGAATGATTTCATAATTCCTTATATGTCACAAAATGTATTTATTTATTTAGTACGCTGTGTTCAATATTTTTATAATAATTTTAGCTCACTCAAAAAGCAAAATTGTCATAATTTATTCAGTCTTTAAAAGTTTCTAAAATTTATGAGTCTTTTTCTTACGTTAAACACAAAAGAAGATATTTTGAAAAATGTTGAAAACCTGTAACCATTGACTTCCATTGTTTTTCCTACTATGCAAGTGAATGGTTACAAGTTTTCAGCTTTCATCAAAATATGTTCTTTTGTGTTCAGCAGAAGAAAGAAACTCATAAAGGTTTGGAACCACTTGAGGGTAAATAAATTGCAAGTAGTTTTTTTATTTTTGGGTGAACTTTCCCTTTAATGTAGTGAATTAACTGGGTAAGTATGGTGATTTAACAATTAGATGTTGTCATTTTTTACCCCATTGACCTGCAGTCGTCTGTCTTAACCGGTTCACCCAAAAAAATGAGCCTAAAAGTGGAGTTATTTTTTTTGGGTGAAACTCCCCTAAAGTTAAACAGCTTAGTTTTACCATTTTTAAATCCCTCCAGCCAATCTCAGGGTCTGCCAGACTTCAAAGCACTTTTAGCTTAACTTAGCATAAGTCATTGAATCAGATTAGACCATTAGCATCTCACTCAAAAATCGACTAGATAATTCTCCTATTTAAAGCTCAACTCCTCTGTAGTTCTATCATGTGCTTTGTCCAACGAAAGGTAAAAGTTGATATATATGAAGGGACTATACTCCTATTCAGACAAAATAGCTTATTTTCCCAAAAAAGTGGAGGAAATTCTCTCTCTTTAGTGAAATGTTCTCTTCTCTCATAGTCATGGAGTGGTGAAGAACCTGGTGAACTTCTTCCAGTGGCGTTTCTGTGGTCTCTGCAAGCCAATGGTTTTGGACTGGACTCAGCAGCATCCCATGGGTCTCGGCAGAGATATGTTCAGCAGTCCCGATGCCGTTTGACCCCACGCCCACCCCCAGCAACCAATCATCCACTCAGGGAGAGAGACGTCCCAGATCTGGAGCCATTGGTTTGAATTTAACGCCTCTTTTTTTATTATGGAAATGAAGAACAGACTGAATGATCATTTGGATAATTAGTTCTATTTGCTAAGAACATCCACCTTTTATATTCGCACGAAATACACCTGATTTCTGCCTTACAGTTTAAGTTATACATGGAGTACGCGTTTATAAGCATACTGGTATATTTTGAACCGAAATATTTTGTAAGGTACAGTAAAAATCACACCGGTTTGGTTTTTACTCCATCATTTTACAAGAAGTGACCACTATCCTTGAGCTCTTTGTGACGAGATTTGTAAATCCGAGCAATTTTATTTCTACAAAACGAAGAAAAAAGAAAAAAAAGCTGATTTTCTTGTAATTTTGCGAAGCATACATGTTTAAAATGTATTTAAAAATGACTTTGTTACGATCAGATGCATCGCCGCTCCCCTCCTGAACATTTTATAGCGTTATACATGCCAGATTAATCATATAATTTAATATATTTTATTTTATTAGCTATTAGTGTTGTTTTTACCCTTTATACTCAATCAGTGATATTTTAAATGACGGAAAAAAAATTTTTTGTCTTGTTTAAGCTTTTAAATAACCACTGTGTAGTTCAGGCTAGTGTCCGCTAGCATCATCTTGCTCTTCGCATTCTTCTGTATCACGCAGTGTCATTATAAGGGAAATGTGCTGTTGTTGAATCCTGCTCTGTGCTTTGGAATAAATCAGACTTGTTTTGTAATTAGCTGGTTCTAGTGTTTGTCGATGTGTTAATTTAGATTGTTCGCGTTTAGTTGTAATGCATGAAAATGAAAAGTATGGGGCCATACTGATCATTAAGGATGCCCTTAAACTATTATTATTATTATTGTTATTATTATTTCATTAAAGTTTATAATTAGTAATTATATTATTATATTAAAAATAACTATTATTATTATTATTATATTATTGTTTACCCAAAAACAAAAAATTTACTTCATGTTCTTTTGTCTTCGATTTTAGAATTCATTGACATAGTAGGATAGACAAAGACTATGGAGTTCAATGGTTACCCATTTCCAACAACAGGCAGAATAATTAATTTTGGGGTAACCTATCCCTTTAATATCAGATTTTTCAATTATTTTCTTTAATTTGACATTGACGCTAAAATAACAATTTTGACTAAACATTTTTCATTAGTAATTAAAGCTCCAGTAAAACTGAGTTGAATAGATGCTGAACATGTCAAAATGCTGATTAACTTTTTTTAGACATTAATACTGGGGTGGTAAGCAAAAGTTTGGTTTTGTTTTTAGCTAATAAAAAAAAATAAGTATGATGAGGATTTTTTTCTACTGAATACAAAAGCAGATATTTTGAAGAATGTTTTGGAAGCTGGTGACCATTGACTTCCACTTGAACTTTTATTTTTCCTAGTATGGAATTCAGTGGTTGTTGGGAGGGCTTGACAATAACTTTTTTGATCAGCATCCACAGTGGCTAGTAGTTTTCCAACGTTACTAGCCACTCTGCATTTTCACTAGCCACAATTTTTTTGTTGGTAAAATATTTTTATATGCATAAATATGACTTTGACATGCAAAAATGACTTGATTTAGATTTTGTGATATGTCCACATGCCTCCTCATTCATTTCACTTTTTGTATTTCGTGTAGAGCAAATAGGTCATGATTTCATAGTGTTATACTGCAATTAGTTTTGATTTCACGTGACTTCTCAGAACTCAAAATTAAGAATTTACCAAATTTATCTCTGACCAAACCAAACAATAATTATTTCCCAGCCACAAATTTTAAGTTTCAAAACAAGCTAAATATATACTTTTTATTTAACAAAACATGTCTTTAAAAAAACAAAGAAAAACTTTTAAACAATTGACTTTTAAAAAATAATTATTGTCATGTATCAAAAATATGCACAGTAATCTGTCCTGGCTAAAGCTCCCTCAGATCACCAGTTAACTACACATAAATGGAGAGTTAATCTCATATTTAAAGCAATGTAGTTATAAAAAAATAAGATGATTAACCTTTCTTTTTACCATTCTAATTAACATTCTAATTAACATTTAATAGGTGAAAAAAATGTCTGTTTGTGATAATGAAAGGATGATCACACACACACAGTTAAGGCCAATTAATAATCTGTTCAAAGCAAAAGCAACCGATGCTGCTTACAAAAAGACAAATTTGGAGCTCTTGACAGCAGCAAGACTGTGGGTGCATGAGCTTAACTTTTTGTCTGGTCTGTTTGAAAGAGAACCGATCACAGTTGCCTTCCAGACACGGTTGCTTCGCACAAGGTACCAGTTTCGCACACAAGTTTTGAACAGTCTCACCCATCACATCAGTTGTTAGCGCGAGTGATCATCCTCTCATTTGGTATTCATCTTTCTTTTGCTCGCGCGGACACAATTATTTTTGTCAGTTGTGCTGCATCTCGATTCTAAGATCAAATTTGCATGCATATTGGGCCATCCTTATAGTCGAATCCTGCTTTTAAGAAAACCACAATTTAAAATTATTTTCAACCAGCCAAAGTGGCTAGTGGGAGTGACTGTGTAACCCGCCATTAACCTGCGGGACTGTCTAACCTGCATTTGGCGGGTTGGCAGGTGTTAATGTCAAGCCCTGGTTGTTGGTTTCCAGCATTCTTCAGAATATCTTCTTTTGTGTTCGACAAAGCAAAGAAACAAGTCAAGGGTGAGTAAATGATAACAGAATCTTCCTATTTGGGGGAACTATTCCTTTAGGTTGATCATTAGTTTGTGATTTTATAAAATCACTCATTTAAACCATTATCTAAATATCAGGAATCAACGCTGAATGACACATCTTATATCTTTATTAAATGTTGATTTATGTTTTTATGACATGACAATTACAGTACAGTAGACAGGATTTATATAATTGTGCTACAGTTTATGAAGTAATCAGTGCCTAGATTTAACATAGGATCAGATATAAAGCTGAAGTGTGCACTTTGTTACGATACTTTCATACGTTCATCCAAAAATGAAAATAACCTCATCGTGTAGTTGTAAACCTTTGAGTTTCTTCCTTCAGTCTTGGTTTCTGACACCCATTCACATCCATAGAAAAAAAGAAATTACTATGGAAGTCAGTGGGTGCAAGCTACCAGCATTCTTCAAATGATTTTCTTTTGTGTTCAACTGAAGAAAGTTAAATAGGTCTTGTACTAAGCTGTTAGTAGGACATAATACTTTTTTTACATTTCAGCATTGTACTGCTTTATACCAAACATCCTCACACTGGAACAGGCTTAACCAAATGGCGTGATTAAGTGTAAGTTGTTTCTGTAAGTTCCACACTTCAGCTTCATGTATAAAGCTGCATTTCCACTGCACACGACTAACATTTGCAGGTCTTTAATCTCCAATGGAAAGTCGTTTGGGATAAAAAGTTTTGCAACCGAGCTTTGGGTGTATTGAAATATGTTGATAAAATTGATATAATGTGCGCAAAGTGAAATATGATTGTTTTTTGTTGTGTTTAATTTTCTTGCAGCTGCCACTAGGAGGCAAATACTGACAGCCATGTTTAAATATCATGTGGTGAATAGGAGGTTGCACTTGATTGGTCTACACTTGTCACACACTCTCCTCGACCATGCCCGGGTTCCCCAGGCCCCGCCCCTTCGGACCAAAGTTTTTGGCATAGCAAACTGAAACACAAAAATAGAGAAATAAATAACGCACAAATGTTCTTAAATGATGGTAAAGTTTAAACTAGTAATTTGTAATGTTTCATAATCAGCAAGATGAATTCAAAGCTGACAATTCTCCTACTTTCGGATTAAACTTCCTAATATAAAATTCTTGTGCCTCTTAAATATCATTTGAACCTTTCAAAACCAAAATAACTTTCCTCCCTCGTCAATATCTTTTCTCTGATGCTGCGTTCGTGTCAGGGCAGAGCAATCTGTCACTCGCGTAAGATCCACCAATAGCAAACAACAACCGTCCAGTCAGTGTCTGGTGGACAAAATCAAGTCCCGTCTAGGGTTGTAACGGTATGAATTTTTCACGGTATGATAATCGTCTAAAACAATACCACGGTTTGACGGTTTCGCGGTATACGGTATGTTACAAATGTTACAAAATAATAGAACAGTGAAGCAAATTTGACTTTTTCCAAATAATATATTTTTAGTTACTATAAACAACACCACTTACAATGAAGAAATAAGAAAATAATAAATAATGTGTCAAAGTCCAAATAAAGTCCAAATAAACATGGTGCAAATCCTCAGTAAAAAATAGATATAAATATTTACTATACTATAAATAGTTACATAACGAAACTAGATTCAATATGGAACATCCTTAGGTTTTATGTGCCAGCATGGATCTGGTTGTCTATCGATATGGATTTGGATATGGTTGTCTGCAATGCAGACAAACAGCTGCACCTTCATTTGCGTCTTTTGAAAACAGCAAGAGCAGCAGTTCGTCTTTGCTGTGTCACTGTTTTGTCATGTTTCTGTGCTGCTGTGCATGCAAAAGTACTTAGTATGAGAATTATTTCATGCAAAACTTTTTTTTTTGCGTTTTATTTAGCCGCGCATAAATGTCTCATTCCGTGTTGTTCAAAAAGCTTGGTCCACAAACAAAAGCGAAACCTATGCTTATTGGTTGTGATATAGCGAGTTTGAACCAATCTGGGCATGGAGGAGGGACAATGCATCAATGTATCATGTCTGATTTGTCCGGAGACACAGTGACGAGCGTTTCTTTGTCAAATCAGCGTTGTCAAATGTTGATGACGTAACCGCACTGATTCCGGAGCCTCTGAAAGTCCGCGAATGTTATGTGATACAGCACTGGAAAGCTGAGATTCTCTTCTTTATGCCAATCTTTGAATTGTATGAATCGGATCAGCGGATCAAAAGTTATTAAACATTTAAGAGCAATACTTATTTTTAGCCGCGGGCGGCTGTCTCTGTCTTTAAGGGTTAAAACCGTTGATATGCAATTGTTCATGGTATGATAATCGTGCACATTCAAATCGTGGTAAACCGTCATACCGGTATATTGTAACAACCCTAGTCCCGTCCTACTTTCATTTTCCTTTTGGTGATTGTCATTCCCAGATGCATCAAAACAGAGAAGAAAAGACTATTGGAGTTGTCATTTCATGCCAAATATAATGGAGATTTCTGTTGGGATGATAAATCATTTCAACACAAAGAGAGGCTTTAAAGGGTTAGTTCACCCAAAAGTGAAAATTCTGGTATTTATGACCCTTATATAGTTTCTTTACCCAGTAAAAATAGATTTGTTCATCAATGTCTTAGCTTCCTTGCAAGGGTGCACATGATGGCATGTGATGGTGGGGAAAAAAATTAAAGAAAAAAAACTGAGTGGGAGGAAAAAAAATGGGTGGGAGGAAAAAAAACAGTGATATCTATCTATCTATCTATCTATCTATCTATCTATCTATCTATCTATCTATCTATCTATCTATCTGTCTGTCTATATATATATATATATATATATATATATATATATATATATATATATATATATATATATATATAATTTAAAAAAAAAATTTTTTTTTTATTTACACGTTTTTGCGTTCCCTCACAAAGATGTTTTGCATTCCCTCTTAAAGATGTGATAGGATGATATTGGGAAAGAATGGTAAAACACGAGAGAATTCCGGCAAAAACGGGAGGGTTGACATGTTTAAAGTGAACAGGAAGTGTTTGTGGAAAGTTTTGTGAGATAACGCGAAACATCTTTGCTAGGGAATGCAAAAACCTAAAAAAATATATATATTCTCCTATTACTGTTTTTTTTTTCTCCCACTCAGTTTTTTTTCTTCCTCCCATTTTTTCCCCCACCATCACGTCGCTTCCAGGTCTCCGTACACATATTGTATGGGATGTTTTCCATTAGAGTCAGCAGCGCTAGCTAAAGTCTAGATGGGATACATCTGCGGATCCTACGGCATGTTCACATCAGTGTAATATAATTTTTGTGACACTGTACAACAATTGCCACTTTTAAATAATTATAAGGCATAGCTTAAGGTTTGGGGTAGTGGAAAATGTTAATAAAACACAATTTAATGGGTAGTTTAATAAATAATTCTCGCCAATTTTCAGCCATAGCTGTATCCCTTCTAGCAACAACTTCAGCTCTACACGCAAGTGTGTTTTTTCCATAGTAAACGGCCGAATCTGATGTGGAAGACATTGACAAACAAAGTTGACTTAATGTTTATATTTAAACAAATCATTTCTAATTATGCTTTATGCTGCATTTATATTCATATGTACATATATCATACATTTTAAAAATGATGATGACCCAGAAAAGGAGTTTTTTGGAGATTGTCTCCACAAAGGTACAAGTTTGTCCCCAAGATGTGGTATAAGTAGGTTCCTAACCCTAACAAAACAACAAGAGAAAACTTCTATCCAAGTGTGTGTGTGTGTTTTTTTTAAACAACCTAATCTGATGTGGAAGACAGTGGCAAACAAAGTCTTTTTATAGTGTTTTGGGGTTTGTTTGTTTTTTTGCGTATAAAACATAGACTGTAAAAAATATGGACATTTCTGCTGTAAAGTTGGGCATTTTAAAATTGATGTCAATTTGCTCTGTTTTGGAGCCAGCCCCCAGAGGCCAGTTGATGAATTGCAAATTCAGCTTCTTCCGTATTAGCTTCACAAGTGAGAGCAGGAGGTTGCCGCTTGGCCCATAGGTGTTTATGGAGCTTTTTATGAAGACAGTTAAACCATTGAGGTAACATGGAATGTTTCGGCAATATCTTTGGTTCCTTTTCTGAACTTAAAACATCTCTGGACCCAGGCCCGGATTGGCTAATCGGGAGGACCAGGAGAATTCCCGGTGGGCCGGTCCGTTTTTTGGCCGCGAGGGCCGGTGTCCCTAGCTCCAGAATCTGTTGCTCTCAGCAGTCACACTTAATTTAAATTAATTTATTTATTTACTTGACCACAGTCTTCTTATTCATTATTTAGCCGCAGCTCTGCTCTTTTTATGTATAATGATGATATAACTCCGATGGGTCACATCTCAATATACAACTGTTGTGGTCCAGTGGTTAGCATGTTAGATTATGACGCTGCCGACCCGGGTTTGATCCCTGTCTGAGTATGTTTTTTTTATTTTATTGTTAAGACATATAATACTGTTAGGGTTGTTGAACATTTGAAGTTCTAAAGCAGCTTTTTTCTCAAAAAAAAAGACGTGATAGTGTCATTAGAAACTGATTTGGAATGACCTTATTTTAATATAGTCAGTCGTGAACTGAGGTAGGCCGGTCTGAGGCTTGAAACTCCAGGGCTGAAAAGGAGTCCCACTCCGGCCCTGTCTGAGCCCCTGATGTCTATGGAGGGTCAGAGAGCTCTGAGGTTTCATCTAAAATGTCTTTGTGTTCCGAAAATGAATGAAGGTCTTGGGAATGTAACGACATGAAGGTGAGTGATTAATAACGCAATTTAAATTTTTGGGTGAACTAACCCTTTATTCACACGGCTACAGTATTTGAGCTGTTGATTGCATCAGTTGTGCTGTAATGGCTGTTGAACATTAACTAGGTCTTTGAAACAGCATCTATTGATCAGTTAAGTGATACTAATGAGATTGAGCAGTTTCCTTTGATTGATTGTACCTTTACAGTAGAGCTCTCCATCTTTATCCGTCACGGTGGTGGACTCCAGGCTCTTCCCGCACAATAAACAGCGGAAGCAGGTTTTGTGCCAGGGCTGTTGGATCAAAACCAGGTACAGACTGATGAATTACTACTTTACACAGCGCTGACCTGTGACAGCAGCATATTACAGAAGTGCTGAGGAGGAACAGTTTCTCAGAATCTGCTACGTATTTAGATTAAGTGGTTTATTAATAATATATTTTATATTTTAGCAGTGTATTGTAGAATTAATGCAGCGTCAGCTTCTCAGGGTAATTTTTGCAGTGGTTTTACCTTTCCAGCACCCATGATTTTCTCCGCTGCATAAACAGCTTTAGAGCAGCGAGGACAGCGATCTGTACTCCCAAACTTCTGCGCAAACTTGCTTGAGTTTGAGTTCGCAGGTGCAGGACGTGGAGCTTTGGGCCTTAAAATGTTCAGAACACACACACACACACACACACACACAGGTTATCTAAATATGGACATCTTAAGATTTCATATACAGCTAGTGTCCGATAGCATAAGTTCAACCCTAAGACAGAGGAGTACTTCATTTTTTTTATTCATACATTAGCATACACGCATTTTAAAGTATACAGTATATAAGTTCAACCCTAAGACAGAGGAGTACTTCATTTTTTTTATTCATACATTAGCATACACGCATTTTAAAGTATACAGTATATACAAATCGGAAGCTAATCTAACAAAATAACTTATGATAACGGTCCAAAATTAGTAGCCCAAATTTATACAAAAAAAAAATATTCAAGGGAAAAAAATTTTGTTGAATTTGTGTAGTTTGTCATTTTTTGTTTTAATTTTGCATGAATTTAAATGTATTATCTTTCCATTTCTAAAGATGTTCGGTGACTAAAATATTATTTGAATAAATGTATTGGTTTAGTAAATCTATTTTGTTCAAATACACCAAAATATATGACCTATATTCACTGAGAAATGGTTAAAAATATTCATTTTCAAAATCGGGTGTAGTCAGTTATGCTGAGCACTGTATGTACTGTATCCTTCATAAAAATTGGCATCTCAGTGTAATCAATGTAAAATGATGTTTGCATATGGACATGCATTAAGGGTATAAATCTGTCCTTAAAACTTGGTAAAAGTCAGTTCATGCATAACAAAAACGTTCAACATTATGAGTGTATTTTGAGGACGTACTCTTGAGGCTGAAGTTCTTCATTATTGACCGGGTCAGAACTCAAAGCTCCAGCACCCTGGCCATACCCATAACCTTTCGGACCATATTTCTTGCCGTAGCAGGTTTTGCAGTATATCTCAGACTCATGTGCGGCAACTGTGGTGCTGTCCAAACCTTTACGACAAACCACTAAAAACAAACAAATCATGCATATATACATTTTTAAATGTTTACCAAATGATGTTAAACAGAGCAAGGAAATTTTCACAGTATGTATTATAATATTTTTTCTTCTGGAGAAATTCTTATTACTTTTATTTCAGCTAGAATAAAAGCCGTTTTAAATTTTTTTAAAGCCATTTTAAAGTCTAAATTATTAGCCCCTTTAAGCTATATGTTTTTTGATAGTCAACAGAACAAACCCATCATTATACAATAACTTGCCTAATTACCCTAACCTGCCTAGTTAACCTAATTAACCTAGTTAAGCCTTTAAATGTCACTAAGCTTTATAGAAGTTTCTTTAAATAATATTAACTGAATATTAGATATTTTTCCTGAATAAAAGCAGTTTTTTATTAATAAAAAATAAAAAACATATTAGCCTAGGGTCAACGTTATTAGCCCCCTTAAGCATTTTGTTTTATTGTCCACAGAACAAACCACTGCTATACAATGACTTGTCGAATTACCCAAACTTGCTTAATTAACCTAGTTAAGCCTTTAAATTGCACTTAAAGCTGAACACTAGTATCTTGAAAAATGTCTAGTAAAATATTATGGCGAAATATAAAAGAAATCAGTTATTAAAAATGTAGTTATTAAAACTAGTATGTTTAGAAATGTGTTGAAATCTTCAACACACACACACACACATATATATACAGTATATATACACAGTATATTAGTGAAGTAAATTATTTGTATTTTCTTGATTCACAATTAGTTTCTATTTTTAAAAATTTTACTGCATGTTGTTGTTTGGCTTCGACAAAAGATAATAAATTGGAAAAAAAAATTATAATGATAAATAAACCAAATATAAAAGCTAAATAAAATCTATAATCCAATCTTCAGAATTTGGAGACCATTAAATAAACAAACAGAATAAGCAAGTTTAAAGTAATTTAAGGGGAGTCAAATTATACTATTTCTAATATGTCATTTAGATTACCTTATCTATAGTTTGTAATCTAGATTACATTTCTGACATTTTTCATCAGGTAATTTGTAGTCTGTAATACGCAATCTGATCAACTGTAAACAGCTGTTATTATCAAGTTGTTCTGCTTTTTCGTGTTTCAGTCAAATTATGATATCATTTGTAATCAAATGTTTTGTATTGAACTAAAACAATGCAAAATACAAGTGAATTCACATTTTAATTATAATATATTTATTTATTTACACATTGATTTGTGTTTATAACTGATGATTTTATGTTATTTATTTAATCACTTATTTAAATATTTTGAAATGTTTTTTTTAAGTTACAACTAATAAATAAATAAGCAAAACAACATTTCTGGGATTTCCAGTTTAATGAAAATCTGAGTTTTCTCAGTGATTCAAAACCTTCATTTTCTTTCATCTGCTGAACATAAATGTAGAAAATTTGAAGAATGTTGCAAACCACTGGCCATTGACCTCCATAGTAGAGAAAAAAAATGTTGAAGTGAATGTATAACCGTTTTTTTTAACATGTAGTCTTTTGTGTTGAGCAGAAGAAACTCAGACAGGATTGGAACAAGTGGAGGGTCAGTAAATGATGACAGAATATTATTTTTTGTGGTTCTATTATCCCTTTAATTAACTAACAAGTTTATTAAGTCCCAGACTACCTGTGTTGACTAGGAATAATATTATGAAAATGTATTCAAATCGAAGAAACGGTGACTCAGTGGTTAGCACTATGGCCTCACAGCAAGAATGTTGCTGGTTTGAGTCTCGGCTGGATCAGTTGACATTTCTGTGTGGAGTTTGCATGTTCTCGCCGTGTTGGTGTGGGTTTCCTTCAGGTGCTCCCGTTTCCCCCACAGTACAAAGACATGGGTGAATTGGAAAAACTCAACTGTCCATAGTGTATGTGTGTGAATGTGAGTGTGTATGGATGTTTCCCAGTAATGGGTTGCAGCTGGAAGTGGCATCCGCTGTGTAAAACATATGCTGAATAACTTGGTGGTTCGTTCCGCTGTGGCGACCCCTGATGAATAAAGGAACAAAGCCGAAGGAAAATGAATAAATGTATTCCAATGTGAACTGGTCCAGTTGAGTCTGGAGTTGGATGGTGATCTCACAGCTCATCTTCTGTCTGTGTTCATCAGCTGCTGCTCTTCCAGCCAGGATGAGCTCAAGAGGCTCATGGGAGCTTGGCTTGGAGTCTAATTTTAGGCTGATGAACAAGAGGCTCGGGGAGACCAAAGTGTCCCGGCTGCTGTCATCTGCAGCAGATGGAAACAGGCTGCTGAACGGTGGCAAACAACAGGGGTTTTAACTACACCAGAGTGTTAGTCGTCTCAAACAGACTGTTACCACCCTCCCTGGCAACCCTTAAAATTTAATGCTGGAAACAGTTCAGAAAGCACTCTTGATGGCAGTTTATTTTTTTTCCCCAGACTGGACAACTTATTAATAATCAATAGTTGTTTATAAATATATTAAAAGGCACCTTAAAGGAACACTTTTTACAAGTTCTCTATTCACCTTATTCTGCGCCGATGAGTGAGCGCTGCCATTTGAATCTTTTTGGCTCAAGACTTCCGGTCTCATTCACTTCCATTCATTTTTAGACATTAAAAACTGCTCGTTTCACTGTTTGATGTTGCAAACTAAAATTTCTTTATTATACTATTCTACTTGGTCTATATAGTCATGCAAACATTTGTTTGTGGAGCAAGTAGTTTGACCGTTTTCTGCCGTTTATTATTCCTAGTCATTTCTCCTATAGGCGACTTAAACGGAAGTTCTAAAACAATCACGAAAACAGGCGCACTTCCGCATTTTAGAATAAGGTCAATAGAGTTAAGCAGTTGAATTTAACCACTCATAAATTAATTCAGTTAATCTTTATCTCTGGCGGGAGTGCTTTTAGCTTAGCTTAGCATAAATCATTGAATTGGATTAGACCATTAGCATCTTATTTACTTGTTAAAATAGATTGATTTTGCTACACTACAAAATGAAAATGTTTTATGTTACTTTAACTCACCTTAATGAATGATTCAGGTTTCAACTAAATGTATTTAGTTATATAAAGTTTAACTTAATATTTCTATTTAGTTTGACTAATCATAAGTGGAGATGAATAGAAATATCATTTAATAAATCTAAATTTCAGGCAAAAAGATAATTTTTACACTATTTAAAGCTTGACATTACTGTAGTTACATCCTGTACATCCTGACTTACAACAAACAAAAAGTTTCTATTTTGTAGGCCGATATATCAAGGAAATTTACTACTGTACCATAGCATAAATATTACACAGCGCCTGAAAATCGTGACTGCCTGTTGGGAGCATGCCTTGCAATCACAAATACACGTAGACGTACTCCAAAATTATAGACAATTCTTTGCTCGATTTAAAGCGAGGTGCTAATAGTCTAATCTGATTCAATGATCTATGCTAAGCTAAGCTAAAAGTTTGGGTGACTTTAAAAAAAATTATAAGTTGAAAGACTAAATTGTCATCATGACCTATTGATCTCGATTTTTTATAGTATATTTTTATTGTTAATGAAATGTTGCTGTATTTGTTGAAAATGATTTATTCGTGTTCATTGCTCTTTTTATTCATTCATTCATTTTCTTGTCGGCTTAGTCCCCTTATTAATCCGGGGTCGCCACAGCGGAATGAACCGCCAACTTATCCAGCACGTTTTTACACAGCGGATACCCTTCCAGCTGCAACCCATTTCTGGGAAACATCCACAGACACACTCACACACACACTCATACACTACAGACAATTTAGCCTACCCAGTTCACCAGTACCGCGTGTCTTTGGACTGTAGGGGAAACCGGAGCATCCAGAGGAAACCCACGCAAACGCAGGGAGAACATTCAAACGCCACACAGAAACGCCAACTGATCCAGCTGAGGCTCGAACCAGCAACCTTCTTGCTGTGAGGTGACAGCACTACCTACTGTGCCACTGCATCGCAGCTCTTTTTATTATTATTATTAATTTATTTTAACCAAGATTGTTCTAGCATTTGCAACAATCTCATCACACTCAAAGCTGACATTTAATATACTCCTTTCATGGTAAATATGACATTTAATCCTCTTGTGAATGCTTTGTTGTCTTACTGCAGATGAAGCATGTTTTATGGAAGCTGCGGCTGTTGCACTGGATCTCCTCCGCATGGTAAACAGTCTTCTCACAGGCCGCACATTTAGCTCCTCCACCCCAATTTGGCATCGTCGGTTCTGGCAAAGTCGCGCTGATGTTTACAGGAATGGGAAAGAAAAACAATCAAACCAAACCAGCCAAAAACATTAGCTAGAAGGAGTGAGTGTTAAAAATATTTAAAGAGACAGTTCAACCAAAGATGAAAATTTACTTATTGTTCATTAACCATTAGGTGGTGTCAAACTTTTGATTTTAATTTTCTGATAAACACATAAGTAGATATTTTGAAGAATGTTGGAAACTGGTAGCTATTTACTTTCATAATAGGATCACAAATACTGCGGAAGTCAGTAACAAGGTTTCCATCAGCTTGTGTTCATTCATCAGTCCATTTTCAAGAAAAAAAATGAGTGATGACAATGTAAAATTTCAAATAAAAAAATCCTATCATTGACTAAAATACTTTTTACACTCAGTTTGGACTTGCAAGAAGAGGGTTAATGTGAATAATGGGCAATAATAATAATAATAATAAACTGATTTAGCAAGCATTACACCTGCTCAAAGTCCCTTTAAGGCTATTCATTTCACTTGATGGCCATCTTTGAAATTTCTCTCGGTCTGTATGCTTGGGCATTGTGCCTGAATGGGAAAACATCAAATTCTCCAAAACTGCTTGCCAAGCTTATGATTAACTTTCATATTAGGAATCACAAATAAAATTAACAATAACTGTGTCTCTCTAGTTTAATTTCTAAATGTTCTAATCGAACAAAATCTGCAGAAACTCGTGTCTGGTCCGAGCCCCTCCCCCGGAGATTCATCAGTCTATATAGATCGCTGACTAGCTCCGGTACTAGCAGGGTTCATTCGCCATGTTGATCATTACACTATTCTTATTCAAAACTTTACGAGTGACACGTCTTGTGTATTCTATAGTTTGACCCACTTGACTAATCATAATTACATCACCATTATAAATGCCTTGTTTACTGTTGGTTGCTAGGTTACCAATACAACTGTCTCTAACTGCTCTAACAAATTGATGGAAATTTTGCATCTGGAAGTTTTTTTTTGTGAATTATTTGTGAATTTGATTTCCCAATGTGAAACAAATTAGATGTGTTTCACATTGGGATAATGGGCTAATGATGACAAGGGGTTTTAAACAGTTTTGTAAATAGTGGCCACCAATGGTGTAGTCGACACATGGAACTCTGGTGTTCATGGTGACCGGAGTTTGATTCCCGCATCGAGCTCCTACGCCGATCTTTCCCCTCTCTCTGCTCCCCACACTTTCCTGTCTATACTCTCTACTGTCCTATCAATTCAAAAAGGTGAAAACCCCCGAAAGAAATAATTATAAAAGCCTTATTCGAAATATCTTCTATTGTGTTCAACAGAGAAAAAAAATCAATTTGTAACAAGTAGGTGATGAAATGATTTTTATTTTCAATTTTGGGTAAAGTATCTAACATCAAATTATCTTTTCCTGTTGTTTTTTTTTTTTTGTTTCATTTTATTTTTTGAATTAGAACCACCGGCTTCCTTCATTTATGTGATACGTGATAGGTCAGATATAAAAATAGATGCGTCTTATCTCAAAGTAATATGTCATTTAGTCTCTTTCTGTCTCACGTCTTTGAGCGGGCAGAATATCACCTCACTTGTGTGGAATGCAGTGATAAGGGTACAGAAATAGGCTTAAGATTAAAAGACGTGTCTGCTTGAATGCAGTTTTCCGAATCAATTATATTATTTATATTGATTTACAAAAGCCTAGCTTCTGTAGTATGTTTCAATGCTTTCAGAATTAATATCCCTTTATATTAATATATGAATATAATATTAATTATAATATTTGAAATAACTTTTCAGACCCGTTGCCAGGTTGGTAAGAGGGGTGGTTATTTTTTTCTCAAAAAGTGGACCTTTTTGCACTTATATGCCTCATTTTCTATTTAATTATAAGATTTAATTGGCCAACTCATTAAACTATCCTCAGTCATATTTTCACAATTTGAATAAAAATAATAAAATGTAGAGCTTCACATGTTTTCTACCCTCTCTTGTTAAAAAAAGCACATTTGAAAATTAATGGATGACAACAATAGCCAAATTTGTATTTAAATTAATTTTAATATGGGCTGTTTTTGGTGCTTCACACCTTTTTATAGTTTTTTTTTCCCCAGTAATAAGGTCCAATATTTAGATGGTTTTAGATGTTGGACTTAATGGAAATAATTCTTTCCATTGGCCAAAACTGATTAGCAGAAGTCACAACCACAACCTGAATCTTTTTCAATGGGTTATTTTCACTTTATTTTGATGGCATAGCAATCAAAATAAGACAAATGGGCTCATGTTTGGGACAAATTCTGGACTTTTGTCAGTAAGGGGTGGGTCTTTCGAACCCCCTTGGCTAAGGGCCTGCTTTTATACTTGACTATATTTTAGTCATTTTTTTTATTCTTTAACAATGAACAATATTTTTGAATAATTTTAGCTTGTTCCATGCCTTAAGGTTCATTTATGTGTTTCTGAATCAATTTCGTAATCATCTTGATTGGTAAAATAAATAAATAAATAAATAAACTATAGAAGAGTATAATTAGGGATACATGGCATTTTAGAATATATCTTAAATATCTCAATTGATTTCAGCTTTGAGGTACTTTACTTAGGTATGCTGTCAATGGATTCCTTGGAAAGAAAAAACAAATATATGTATAGAATTATCATTGCTTCAAGTAAAAAAAGCCATTACTAGATGCTGGTATAAAACTAATCCATCACAAATGCAAGATTTAATTGATGCTTTGAAAAATATCTTCATTATGGAAGAAATTACATACAGTGTGCACAACCAAATAGATTTATTTGTTGACTTATGGTTTAAATGGATTGAGTACATTACTCCCATTCAACCTTATGTTTATCTTCTATAGAATTTTAAGACTTATTTATACTGGTATTACTGTTTTCACCCCCCAACCCCCTTTTAATTCTTTATTCTCTGTTTTCTGTATATAGTATTTTAAATAGGATGATGTAAAATAAGGCAAAGGGATATGTTCTGTTGCTGTTATGAAGAAATGTGTGTTGTCTCTTTTGGTCCCTGATTGGGGAATTTAAACTGTAAAAGCTGTAAAAGTGACATATGTCTACTGATGCTGTGAATTGTAAATCTCAGCAATAAAAACTTAAATGAAACAAAAAGAAACAGTATAATTAGTATAACATCATTAATGTTTATACGTTGATGGCCAACATTATTTTATTATTTTACATTATAAAAAGTCATTTGGAAGAATTAATTAGAAATAGGATTACCTTAATCAATAAATCTACTGTATTTGTTTGTCAAGCATTTTATTGTGTATTTTTAATTTATTTTTAATCATTTTAATGAACCAATTCATCATTAGCCTTCTCTGGTTTTTAACCACTTAAAGTTGAATAAACTCTCAAAACAGATTAATTTCAATGAATACTAGCATTCAAATAACGCACAGCGCAAATTACGAGCCATGGACAGTCATAAAAGTGTGAATTTCTACTTACAGTTTGTGAAAATAAAGCGCTGAGCTGTCTGATGATGTCCATTTCTGCCCCTGTCCGGTGGCCGCTTATATACTGTCCGTCAGTCCCTCCGCTCCAAACACACTCACTCATAATTTGAAGGGTCGTGCTGACATCCAGACTAGACCATCCTCCGAAATTAACTGCTGACAATACACAAAAACAATGCAGTGTATTCAATCCTGAACTCAAATGTTTAACGTGTCCAAGGCCTGAGTGCGAAATAACAAAAATACGTCATCCTGACCTGTTGTTGGTGTGTTGCTCCTTCGAGTGTGTTTTTCTTCGTCAGATTCACCGTTCTGCTCTATAATAATAAAAAAGAAATACACACAGACTGTCATTCTAAAAAAATACAAAAAAACAACCACTATTCCTACTTTTCCTTTAAGATATTTCATGATGTAAATTAAAGCTGTGGAATCAGCCGTTTCAGTCATGACAATATGTTAATTTTGTTTAGAGTCGGTGTTACACCGGAAAAGCAGCGCGCTCAACACCATATAAGGAAAAGCATTGGCAGCAGGAAGTGCGATAGATTTTAAAAATGTACTGTACTTGTATATTAGTTATTTTTTATTTTGTCCTTTAATTTATTTTTGTTACATAATTTAATCTGTAGGGCTTTATGTTTTGTTCCTTAACATTTGGTAAAAAAATAAATAAAGAAATTCTTCTGGATGACTGGATCAAATGGGTGAGAATATGGTGACTATTTCATTTTGGAGAGAACTATTTATCTATGCCACGGCCACCCATGTGACCACCCTAATATGATTTTGCTGTTGATATTATTAATTTAAATGTACTACTTGCCAAAATTCACAATATTTCAATAAATAAATTGCAGCAACATGGTGCCACTGACGTAGCTGATTCGCTGCCCCGATCATCGTTGACAGCAGCAGCAGCACACACCTTCAATATATACAGCAATGGCAATTTAATATTTACCTTAAGGTACATGATTTATAATGTACATTATTATTATAAAGTACATTACATTATATTAAGGTAAATTGTTTTAAAACGCAGCCCTCTGTATTCTGCCGCCCTAGGCGGCCGCCTATAGGTTGCCTCTATGGACGCGCCGGCCCTGTATATGAATGTATATATCCCCCCACCCACTGCCTCCTTCACTGTCATCCTCCACCACCAACCACTCCCCCCTAACCCCGCACCTTCATTTTTTACTTCACTTTACTAAATTATTGTTTTTTGGGCTTTTCTATGGGATCCGGACCTGATTCATTCGGGTTATTTTCCTAACTGGCCTCGTGGCCTAATGGATAAGGCCGCAGCTTTGTTAAATACAGGTGGACAATACTACGTTAAAACAATCAATTGTATGTGAACTTTGATATGTAAACCTGATTTTCAAATTATATTTGTAAGTATAAATCGACACAGAAACTGCAAGAGCTGTTTTTAGCGGGTACAAATTTACCAAATTCATGTTTTTTGGGGCTTTTCTGTGGGATCCAAACCTGATTGATTCAAGGTACTTCCTCGTCTGGCCTCGTGGCCTAATGGATAAGGCGTCTGACTTCGGATCCGAAGATTGCAGGTTCGAGTCCTGCCGGGGTCGTAAGTTTAGAATTGTTATTATATCAAACCGATCACACCAGTCGCTGTTCAGAAATCGTCGACAATTACATGCAGGTGTGTTTAGAACAGTAATGGAACCGAAATCTAAAATCATGCGAAGTTTACTCTGCTCTTTAAAAAATCTAAGTTCTAGCCCTTTATGTGTGACATACAGTATGTTGCAAAACAATATCAGGGTAAAACAAACTATTGTATGTAAACACAAATTTGAGGTCACATTTGCATATAAGAATAAAAGGAAAGACCTTCATGGGGCGTTTTTAATGTGCCCGAAAATCGTTTTTGGGGTTTGGGATGCAAATTTAAATGGTTGATAAAAGGCTGTTGAAGGAACATAACGGTTGAGTGTGATGTATTGTTGTTGCTTATGTATACACTGGGAAAAAAACTCCGCTGGGGTGCTGGAAAAAACGTAAAATAAAATAACCATTAAATAACAGAAATTTACTGTAAAATAACAGCTGTTGAATTACAAAAAATGACCAGAAATGTAAATTTCTGTAATTTAATATGTTATTTTACAGTATATTTCTGTAATTTAACTGTCGTTAATTTACTTTTTTTTGTCTGGCACCCTAGCTGCTGGAAACAAATCGTAAAATTACGGATTTTGTTTTACAGTGTATATATGTATACAATGTCTTTCAGCGTTGGGGGTAACACATTACAGGTAAAGTGAGCTATGTAATAATATTACTTTTATTTTCAAAGAGTAAAGTAACCCATGAGGGGAGCACAAAGTAACACAGGGTTAAATGTAACAGAGTTTTAAGATATTTGCTTAGGGTTAACCATGGCATGCTTCCGAGGTTTTCACCACATTGTCAGCAGACGTGTTTCTGACAATCTTTGAAAAAATCAGCGAAATTTGGATGAGAAACACAGGAGAAAACCATTTCTGCAGCATGAAAGTATTTTTATTACATTCGATATTTTTTAAAAATCTGTGAACTAGTAAGGTCTTTATGAAAATCAAAAAGTGGACTTGAACATTATGTATTCCTGGTGTTGGGTTGCGGCTGGAAGGGCATTCGCTATGTAAAACAAATGCTGGATAAGTTGGCGGTTCATTCCGTTGTGGCGACCCCTGATTAATAAAGGGACTAAGGGAATGAACATTATGTAAAAATGGCTTGCTGTATTTTTTTGAAAATACAACGCTTAATAAGTGTGAAAGTGATACATGCAAAAATGGCTTGCCATATCAGTAAAAATATGGAGTTTAAGTCAAAAATGGCTTGCCATATCAGTAAAAATATGGAGTTTAAGTCAAAAATGGCTTGCCATATCAGTAAAAAATATGGAGTTTAAGTCAAAAATGGCTTGCCATATCAGTAAAAATATGAAGTTTAAGTCAAAAATGGCTTGCCATATCAGTAAAAATATGGAGTTTAAGTCAAAAATGGCTTGCCATATCAGTAAAAATATGGAGTTTAAGTCAAATATGGCTTGCCATATCAGTAAAAATATGGAGTTTAAGTCAAATATGGCTTGCCATATCAGTAAAAAATATGGAGTTTAAGTCAAAAATGGCTTGCCATATCAGTAAAAATATGGAGTTTAAGTCAAAAATGGCTTGCCATATCAGTAAAAAATATGGAGTTTAAGTCAAAAATGGCTTGCAATATCAGTAAAAATATGGAGTTTAAGTCAAATATGGCTTGCCATATCAGTAAAAATATGGAGTTTAAGTCAAAAATGGCTTGCCATATCAGTAAAAATATGGAGTTTAAGTCAAAAATGGCTTGCCATATTATAAGAAAATAATGCTTAAAAATTATTTATTGGAAAACTATAAGTCTGATAAACCTTAAAGATATAGCAACAAAATCTAACACATCTAAATACAGCTTTTGGACAAATTTGGGGCTTGTATAATTTTTTATATGCCCGGATTATAAAAATTTTATATTTAACATTTTTCATTAAAAAAAAAACAATAAGTCTTACTGGCATGAGGAGATATAGCAACAATCTTGAATGTAGAAGGCACATTTTGACCACATTTGGGCCTTGTGGCATGAACGGCCTAGGAGGAGATACGTTTGTTTTCAAGGACAGAGTAGTATAACAGTATGTTGGCTTTCTCAAGCCAACATAATTAGGCAAAGTTTACCCTGCTCTTTAAAAACACAGACGATTCAGAAAAGTTGCAAGTTCTAGTCCTACCATGTCACTTGTTTTGCAAACAATATTAGGTTAAAACAATCTTTTGCATGTGAACTTTGATATGCAAACATGATTTTCAAATCATATTTGTATTTATGAATGAACAGAGAAACTGCATGCATGGGCTGTTTTTAGTGGGCAAAAATCGACTAAATTCATGTTTTCTGTTTTTTTTTTTTTTTTTATGGGATCCAATCCTGATTTATTCAATGAATGATACGTCTGGCCTCGTGGCCTAATGGATAAGGCGTCTGACTTCGGATCAGAAGATTGCAGGTTCGAGTCCTGCCGGGGTCGCATCTTTAGGATCGTTATTATGTCAAACCGATCACACCAGTCGGCTGTTCAGAATTAGTCGATAATTAAATGCAGGTGTGTTTAGAGCAGTAATGGAACCGAAATCTAAAGGTTTGAAGCTTTCCACAAACACTAGTTGTCCCTCATGTGGGTGGTAAGTTAACAAATAAAATATATGAAAGTGAAGGAAAGTGAACTTCATGTGGCCTAATAGATAAAATGTTTGACTTCAGATTGAGAGATTGTAGGTTTGAGTCCTGCCAGGGCCACTTCTTTGTTTAAAACAGATGTAGCAAATAAAATCATGCGAAGTTTACTCTGCTCTTTAAAAATCAGCGAAATTTGGATGAGAAACACAGGAGAAAACCATTTCTGCAGCATAAAAGTATTTTTTATTATATTCGATATTTCTTATTTTTTTTAAATCTGTGAAAGTACGAACGTAAAGTCATATATTGTTGTGATCACCGTCTTCAAGGCTAAATGATGAAACCATTTTGAAAGATGTAAGAAACACAGTGACTGCTGGACAGTTTTAAAGAAAACATGACACAGTGGGGTTACAAGGCACACACTTTTGACACCAATTAAACAAACTAAATAAATGTTGGATTTTTAGTGTAATGTTAAGAACTTTTTGAATAAAAATGTTTTTTAATAGAAATAGTTTTAATAGAAAAAAATATTTTATTGCTAATAATAAAAACAAATGCATTGTATAATAATGGATAATAATGCAAATAGATTTAAATGTGTTAGTCCAATAAACAAATAAATACATAAACATGCTGTTCTAGAATAAAAAAACAGCCAACTACTGAGGAAATATAGCTACTATTTAAAGTAAACTGAATTTAAATTAGCGAAGCAGTGGCACTGTAGGTAGTGCTGTTGCCTCACAACAAGTAGGTTGCTTGGTCGCTGGTTTGGTCTTTGGCTCAGTTGGCATTTCTGT